CTCTGGTGTAGACGAGGAACTGGAAGGGAGGGGTCAAGCCATGCGTATCGGATGCTTGGGTGGGAGCGCTGCAAGGTGCTTCCTGCGCATGCGTGGCCCAATAGGAAAACTGCTTTGTAAGGCTAACAGTGGAGCACCCACGGGGACACACATCTTGAACAGCCATTACTGAATGGAGTAACGCCCCTATATCATGTCAACCTGTTACACTAACATCTCAAATGATGTTTTATTTTACGGGCAGAAATTTAGACATTCCTGTCAGAAGAATATTTATGTTGCTGCTTTAGAATCTTCTGCTGCCAAATAGAAAGTTAACAGGTTCACATAGGCATTAAGCCAAGTGCTCTGAGACCCCAACATTACAGTAACATCTAGATACTAACCAAGAGTGAGGCCCTAGTATGCCAGGTATTGTACAGATACATACAGTCTCTACTATAAAGGTCTTACAGTGTAAACAACGGGCAAGAGGGAAAGTAGAGGCATAAAGGTGAAATGATTTGGCCACAATCATTAGAGCTGAGAATAATGTCTCAATCTCATGATTCCTAGTCCATTACTCTGTCCACTCAGTCACCCATTTCCCTTCCCTCTTCCCCTGCCCCTCCTGGTTTGGATGCATCTTGTTTATTTACTTTAGGGACTGTCTCTTTTGGTGACAATAAGTAGAATATTCTGACAAGTACTGTATTTTAGTGAATATAGCACGCGGGTTATATTCGTTTTTACAAACCCTCCCCCCGGCGGGGTATTCTCAGATGCGGGATATACAAAAATTGTTTTACTCACCTGGCCTCCAGTGTCTGGGTGGGGGAGCACTTGTCCCCCAGTTCCTGCGCAGGAGTGTTCCCCCTGCCCCTTCCTGCAGTTGTGCAGGAAGCAGGAGATGAACGCTCCCCTGCCTAGAGGCTAGAGGCTGCGCAGCTGCAGGAAGGAGCAGGGGGGAGCGCTCCTTCGCAGGAACCAGGGGATGAGTGCTCCCCCACCTGGAGGCTGGCGGCTGCGCAGCCACAGGAAGGGGCGGGGAAGTGCGCTCATTCCCCTGTCTGGAGGTTGTGTGGCCGTGTGGGACCCAGGGGAGTGAGTGCTCCCCCGCCCAGAGGCTGTGCGGATGCACGGGAACCAGGTGGGGAGAATGCTCCCCCATCCCCATTCCTCACCCTCTACCCCCCGGCCTGTAGAAGGCCCCTTCCCCCCCTGCACAGTTTGAAAAAGTCTTGTATACCCTGTGGGTTGTACTCGTGCATGGGGTATACATGATTTTTTGTAGGTAGGAGGACTGTTGTAGAAATCACTCTGCCCCCTCCCTCTCCCATGGTTTGAGGTAAGGCTGTGAAACGTCTGACTGAGAGTCTGGGTACCCTGTATGACAAAGAAAATGTATAGTATACTGGTTTGTGGCTTTTCAAGAAGTCTTGTTTGTATGGATCTGTCTGAAATTTTCAGCAAGGGATCTGAAAGACAGGTGGGTTGCTCTGTCTGTATGCTTGTCGGGGAGGAAAAGACATACAAGGCTCAGGTGCTGGCCAAAAGATTTTTTTTTCAAAAGATGTGAGGGTGGGGGGTAGGGATGTTAAAAGCGTGACATTGATTAACCATGTAACTGCTGTTGCATGCAGTTACATGCTGGGCAGCAGTCAGGAGCTGACAAAGGCAGCTGGGTATGTAGGGAGTTGACTTCCACCTACTGCCCCACGCTTCTGCTTCTGATACAGAGGCAGTGGTGTGGGGTGGCACGCAACTGGGACCCATGTATAGATGTTTGGGTAACCAGTAAGTTTCCTGTTTAAACAACTGCACTCTTGCACCCCTAATGTGAGGCACATGTGCCTCAGAAGTATGGGATCCATGTGGGTGATGTCTTGAATCACAGTTACTGTAAAATAACTGTTCTTTCTGCCATGTAACCAGATCTTCTCTCTTTAATCCCTTTAAATTAAGCCCTCAGTCTGTGGAGGAATGAAGTCATTACCCTTCTGTGACTTGGAGAAATAGAATTGGCTCCTGAGCAATATCATGATGGGGACTTAAGTTTTATTTGCTTGTCCTTCATGAACCTTGTTTGCTGCCAAAGAAGGTCAGGTTACACTAAGCTGGCTCTTAGCTGCTACATACCCCTGCGTAGATGATTCAGATGTATAGTGTGAACATATTTCCTCCTAGTGCTTTACCTACTTTCCTTATCTGTAAAATAGAAATAAAAATACTTGCCCTCTTTGTAAAAGTGTTTTGAGATGTATGGATGAAAAATGCTTTTGAAAAATATTAATACTGCTAAAGTGGATTGAATCCTGTATAATAATAATAATAAGCAGATGTCCCAGCATTTGGAAATACCAGAATTAATTAATTACCTATAAGGCATCTTCAGGGCCTGGCTTCCACATGATGGAATTGTGGAAATTTTAGAGCTGCTTCAGTTCTGCGATCATTGTTCAATTAAATATTCTCTTCCCTTTCTCCCCTTCCCCCCCCCCCTCACCCATTGGGGCCCCCTAGTCAGGTTAGATGTGGGGAGCCAGAGCTGACCAATGCATCGCAGCTGCAGTTCTGGTTGATGCCATGGAGCTGACAGCTGTAGCGCTCCCTGGTCTCCTACTGTGGTGCCCAGGATTGTGGCGGCTGCTTGGTTTCCGTTTGCTTGCACAGATAGTTAAGAGATTCCAGACTGGGTGGCTCTAGCTCCAGGGGCAGCAGAGTTCTTGGAGGGCAGCCCTTGTAGGGGGCTCCTCCCAGCACACAGCTTGTAGCTACACTCTCCCTGCACCCTGAGCTATCCTTGCCTATACAGACACGCTTACCCATTTTTCTGCTCCCTGAGAAGTTTTCAAACTTTCTGAACTGAGCCATCTTGCTTTGAATTATAATTTACCCCCTCTACCCCAACCCAGACAGGCTGGGTATCATGCTGAGGAAAGTTGGAGGTGCAGGTGATGCTGCCTCCCCAGACTCCTCACCCCCACCCCATTGAAGTCAAGAGTCCTCTTGTTTGAGGGATCTTCCCCCCACCTGGTGGTTGAAACCCCTCTCTTTTCTGCTGAGCTCTGAAGTTCTTAGAGCATGTTGAAGGGGCCTCTGAAAGAAACAAATTGTGAACCCATGACCAATGAATTTAAACAAATTCATTATTATGCCATTACTCTCCCTAAGTAGAAATTCTGTTTTGATGGGAGAATGGCCTTTTTGTTAGCTTGTCATTTGAAAGGGTTTTAAGTAAAATGAAGAAAGATTATTTTTAGGAATAAGACTCCCTACGCAGAACATTATATCTATATAACCAGTTGAAACATCCTTGTGTTAAAACAATGCCTTTGCTATAATGCTGCTTTCTGGATAATGTTTTATTTGAAGTTTTTAACTTAGGAGGTTGGCATGTGAAATTGTGAGAACTTAAATGCCCCCGCCCTTTTTTTTAGACAAACAATACTTATATGTCAGCAGCATAGGTGTTATAGGGAGATACAGTTTTTCAGTTATTTTCACCTCCCACAGATGCTGATCTCAACACTTGGGAATGGATACACATTCAGGCCAATCCTTAGATATAGCTTATTTTGTTGGGGAAAGAAGGCATTTAAAGATGCCGTATTTAGGTTTGAACACTCAAGGTGTAAAGCTTTAAGAATGGTCTACTATTATAATTCTAGTTTTCTACTGAGTCGATTGCTATTATACTGCTTAGCTCTGTTTCTCAGAGGCAACCACCATAGCCTTCTCTAGCAGCCACAGCTTCCTGGTGGTGATTAGGTATGGGGGTGGGGGAATGAAAAACAATGCCCCCTCTCTCAGGCCCTTCTGTCTAGAAGCACACATGATAGAGGAACAGGTGGACAGTGAGTTCCTTGCCTTCCCGGAGGTACTGGGGTTGGACGTCAGTGCTGGGTCTGTGGGTGCCATCCCCTGGAATCAGGGCCTTGGGATCCATTCCCTGGGCTCTATCCCTCTCCCCCCATTGAACCTGGCCCCCATCTCATCTCCCCATCCAGGATTTAATTTGTCCCTGAGGTTGCCGAGGCTGAATAAATCTGCTGGGATATTTGTTTGCTTAATATCACTACATAAATTACAATGGTTTGGATATGTATGTGCATAATTAACTTTAGGAAAAACATAGAAGCATTTTAGGAAAAATTGACCATGGCTACCACCCAGAGTAGGTGTCAGCACTCATAGGCTACCAAAAATGTTGAGCACCGCTGACTTCATTTTATCACCAGTACTTATGCAGATAAGTGGAGAAGGCTTGCTCTTCCTCCTCCTCCTGTGTTCCGTTTCTGTAGCTGAATTCCTGTACTGCTCTGGCATTGCCTTTTCCATGTTACTTTTTAACACTCTGTGTATGAACTCTGTATTTGTTGGGGATCATGATATAATATCCATGAAGTAGATCTCTAAAGTTTATCTTGGTTAATATTGATAAATGTCAGTGATTTTTCTCTGTTAGTGGAATGTACTTTCATTGGTACTGCATATGAAGAATATCTTACATGATAAAGGTGATTATATTATTATTATTAAAGTCAGAAGCTTAATAACAGTAATGCTCAGATCTCAGTGGCTGAGGAGCCAAATTAGTGATGAGCATTACCCAAAAGAGCCGTAGTTGTGGGAATTCATGGATTACATTTACCACAGTACTATCACTTTGTGTTTTAAACAGTATGACGGAAAGTAAGTGTGTGTGAAATATACAAATTCTCACAGCAAAAATGACTGACCAAGTATTATCATCAGCTACATTTGTTTAATAACATAGTAAAAGCATTCCGATGGTTAAGAATTATTTCACAGCATTTTAATATCATGTTCTGCAAAGAGCTGCAAGAGACCCATTAAAGAGCCACTAAAGAGCTTATGCATCTCACTCTGACACTGCGTGATATAAACAAAATACAGTGTTTGTGGCTCTTGTATAGACTGTTACTGAATATTATCTAACTCTATCCAGTACAGAACCTATCTTAAGTAGTCTAACATTTGGTTTTCCTTATGGATAGATCCAGAAAACAATAAAGAAGACAGCTCGCCGGGAGCAGCTGATGCGAGAAGAAGCTGAACAGAAACGTTTAAAGACTGTACTTGAGCTGCAGTTTATTTTGGACAAGTTAGGAGATGAGGAAGTGCGCAGTGACCTGAAACAAGGATCAAATGGTATCCCTGTACTGACAGAGGAGGAACTGAAAATGCTAGATGAGTTTTACAAGCTAGTTGAACCTGTGCGGGACATGACTATGAGGTAATGTGCTAGTTTTATTGTTAAGTAATCACTATCATGTTAATTTTGATCAGTTAGTTTACTCTAGTTTATCTGCAACATAAGAATTTTGAGACCTGTTCAGCAATATTATCCTTCAGTTAATTAATATTTTTGTTGAAGGCTGAATGAACAGTATGAGCAAGCATCCATTCACCTGTGGGACTTACTGGAAGGGAAGGATAAGCCTGTTTGTGGAACTACCTGTAAGTATGTACTGTATCACGTTTGAAGTAGAACACTGAATGCAAAAAAAATATACAGTCCTTAGATGTCTATGTAAAAGTTGCATTACAAATACCTATAATTATAGTTTTAACTGTCAGAATGGTGTTTAGTTTTTTTTTTTTTTTTTCCGTAAGTGCTTGTCGGGAAGCACTCAGGTATGTTATAACTGTATAGTGGAATGAAAAGCTAACTCTTCTGCATATTGGCAGTGATGCAACCTTACTCCTCATTTATTAGGCTCCTGGTTTCTGCTGTTTCAGCAGTGTTCTCTCATTGTTCTCTCATTGTTGATGCTTAGTATTGCTTTTTCCTTTGTAGAAATCTGGATTAGTCTAGAAGCATTTTGCAGCAACATAACCTAATATAGGAAATGAGATTTACTGGGCATTGCTCGGATCCTTCAGGGCAGGGGTTGGAGATGTGGGGGTGAGTGCAGGGCTGGAGGTGAGGGAATTAGGGTGAAGGGTGCAGTAATCAAGAGTAGGGGCTGAGAGTGCAGGAGGATGTCTTCACTAGGATTTTAATATCTGGTGTGGGGAAGTAATCCCTGCACACGATGCTTGTCTATTTTAAGGAGTAGTGTTTGACTTGCAGATTATTTGCTCACCTTCATGTGAAGCAGCACCTGCTTGAAGTCTGTCAGAGTCAAGGCCCTCATCAGATCAGAGGTTGCCCTCTGGTTCTGAGAGCTCTTCTTAATTGTGTTTTAATGCTGGTGCCTCTTGGAAGAGATCAAAGAGTCATTCTGCTGTCAAGTGTGCTAAGGAAAGCGTGAAGTTAGACCACTCCAGGTCCTGTCATTTCCCTTCTCTAAAAGGAGTGCAGATCAGCATGTGCTGAATGCTGATTCTGTTAGTAGTTTTCCAGTATCGTACAAAGGTGTCAGGGACCGTGTACAGTAACTCCTCACTTAACTGTGTAGTTACGTTCCTGAAAAATGCTCCTTTAAGCAAAACATTATTAAACAAATCCAATTTCCTCAGAAGAATTAATACAAGTGCGGGGGAGTTAGGTTCCAGGGAAACTTTTTTTTTCCAGCAGATTGTACACAGCAGTCATGCTTGTGAAGCTTGGGTTGAGGTGGTAGAGTCAGTGTGGAATATTTCCCAGGGAGTGTCTTGCTACTAACTAATAAACTAGAACTCAGCTGAGCGTTCAAGGGTTAAATGTGGTTAATGTAGCCTCATGCTCTAGAGCAGTGGTCTCCAACCTTTTTATGCCCAAGATCATTTTTTAAATGCCTCTCCTGAGGTAACATGCCTAGCCCCATAAATCTCATAGGATGAAGCACTCAGGCCTGGAACCTGACCAGATCACATGCCCTCCCCTGATGTGCTACTTCCCCAACTCCATCCAGCACCTATTTTGAGTCCTTTGTCTAACTGGTAAGTGAGGCAACACTTCCATTGCAATGGGGTTTCAAATGGTTTTCTGCACTGCAGCAGGGCCAGTGCAACGTGATTTTTGCGAGGTGCAAGGATTGGGGGAGGCTACAATTGCACCAAGGGTTACTGATGAGTGTTTCTTACTGTCAGATTTCATCATTGAATCCTTTCTATTTCTAGCATGTCATCAATTTCCAGCTCTTCCTATGGAAATTCTTACATTAACTAGAGCCATTACTGAAGCTCTGTAATAATTCAGTAAGAATTACGAAAAAAGTAAACTTGTTACCAATCCCTAACTTTTTATGGTACCTTTTCAGGTATTTACTTCCTAGGATCTTATAAGAAATGAAGTTCAGCTTTTTGTAGTATTCAAGAAGCAAAATGGCTTCAAAATGACTTTGGAGTTGTCAGCTGCTCTCTTCAAATTAGCCTGGTTTAATGTGCCAAGAGGCAGTACACATTGCTAGCATAACTCAGGAATGCTTTTTATTTCTTATGGCTAAAATCTAGAGGACGTTCCATGATAGATAATTAAATTCAAAGTGACATTAGACTAATTCTGAACAGTGAACGTTTCCTACCAATAAATGGAAAATAAATTTTGAAATTTTTGAATTGCAGGGAATGACATGTTGGAAAATAGTTGACCTTTTAATATATACTTGACCAGAGTTTAATTCCTTTACAGACAAGGCCTTGAAGGATGTTGTTGAACGCATTCTTCAAACTAGTTATTTTGATAGTACCCACAATCATCAGAATGGATTGTGTGATGAAGAGGAGGCAACTCCTGCACCTGCAGTGGAAGATCCTGTAGCAGAAGCTGGTAAGTACATATGTGTTGTAACTAGCTGCCTTTTGCCTGTCACAGTAGTTCGGTGGATTGCAGATGTACCGGAAGCTGGGTGTTTTCTGTTGCCTGAATAAACTGCCAGAGACTGCTGCCATGTAGTCAAGGCAGGCAGGCAAGCATCTGAGGCTAATTAAGAGCTTGCCTGAAGCAGCAGGCTAATCAGGCATCTGTAGCTAATAAAGGCCTGTTGGCTACTTTAAAAGGTTTCCCTTCAAATAAGGGAGGAGGAGGAGAAGAATGAAGGACAGAGAGGAGGACATGTGTTGCTGGAGAGTTGAGGTTTGCAAAAAGGAATGTGTGGTCTAAAACAGGAAAGATTCACTCGGGTACCAGGGAGAAGGTATTAGGGGAGCGTTTGGGGGAAGTGGCCCAGGAAAAAGGCTGCTGTATTGGGACTAGAGGAAAAACCCTGTCAGTTGCCACTGCCTAGGATGCCTAGGGCCGGTTTCCCCCCAACACTCCCCAAACTACCAAAAAGTCCACTCCTGAAAAGGGAGGCCAGGATTATGGAGGGGTTTCACCCCAGTCCTTTGACTCTGCCAATAAGGATGGCTCAATAAGCTGTGACTAGGGATGCTAGATATCAAGTAATTTAATTATTGTGTTAACTGCATCAAAACTTAGCAGTTACAAAACTTAGCAATTACATGTTTATTTGATAGTCTCTGGAGCTGGCAGTCAGTGCACTTCTGGCCCCGTTCCTGGGGAGCCCCTTGTCAACCCGCACTGCTGCCTCTTAATATAGCGGCAGTAGCAGGGGTGGCACTAGCCCCTGTCATGGGGCCCGCGCACCCTGCAGACAAAGGCTGAGTAAGCATCACATGGCGCAGCCTTTGCACCAGTGTGTGGGAAGGGGACAGGTGGCTCCGTGGAGCTGGTTCTCATAGGGAGCTGGGTTGTAAGTTACACACCCCTCTGTAGGAGGCAGCAAAGAGGGTGGGGGAGGGCAGCTCTGTACAGCTGGCATGTGTGGAGAGCTGGCTTAAAAGCTAACTTCCTGGTGTCCCCACTCCTGTCAGCCCTCCTCACCTCTATATCAGAGGCAACAGTGTGGAGGTGGGAGGGGCACTTATTGCCCCCTCCCCCCTTGCTGCCTCTGGCATAAAGGCAGCAAGAGGGAAGGGAATGTGTATAGTCAATAGGATTATCTGATAAGCCACAGAGCAGTGTGGAAGGTCACAGTGAGTCTGAGCCATACAAAAGCCACCTAGAAGCACAGGGCACCTCTGGAGCTTTGCCACAGTGTTTAGGTCTCTATTTGTAAGTTGTATATCTACTGTAATCCCCACTTGCTGAGATGCATGAGAGCAGTAGAAAAATAATTAAAGATATGAAATAACTCAATCTCTTAAATCTAAACTGTTCAGTCAGGTTAGTGCCTTACATGTAGCCTGGCTGCATAGTAGAAAAATTCAAAGTACATAAATGTGAGGAATGAACTAACTAGCAATTAAAATTCTGGTTAGAGCAGCAATCTAAAAAGGCACAGGCATTTAATGTGATCTTCATTGAGTGGGCAAATTTCAAAATATGCTCCCAAGACAAAGTTCACCGCAACTTCTAAATGAGAAATACATCTTAACAGTGAAACTTTCTATGCTATTGTGTAGATTAAAATTGTAGTCACCACGTATTACTTTCCCTTCTGCTGCATGTTGCTCTAGAGCTGAGGGTTTAAGAACAGAAGAACCTATTTTTCATTATTCTAAAATCAGAAAGATGAAAACAATATTGGATTATTTTTCCTGCTCAAAGTCAAAAGGAAAGAATACATATGCTTAATGTGCCTAAAATAGTATATTTTTCTCGTAGAACCTGAGCCAACAGAAGAGTACACTGAACCAAGTGAAGTTGAATCAACTGAGGTACTATTCAATGAAAGGATTGCAGCCACTGTTTTAGCTTTAATACCACTGTCTGTTTCATATTTTCTCTCTTTTATTTTAGTATGTAAATAGACAGTTCATGGCGGAGACTCAGTTCAGTAGCAGTGAGAAGGAACAGGTGGATGAGTGGACAGTTGAAACAGTTGAGGTAAGAAGCCTTATGTGCTGCTGGTAAAATTGCAGAACATGATTTCACTGATTCATAGCTCTTCGAAACATTTGATATATTTAACCCAAAAATAAACCTGTTTACCAGTCTTGAGTTGACCATGTTTTCTTGCATCATGTATACAGCTCAAAGAGCTCTACAATACTAACTTTGCATGTGGATAAATCTCAATGGTGAGGTTACTTTAGTAGGTTGGGGAAGTGGTAGAAGAGTAATAAACAGTTTTAAAATTGTCACTCATGCATAGTCAATGTAGGACTTGAAATTAGTTACAGCTGTTGGTAGCAGCAAAGAACTATATTGGTTTATGCAGTTCCCTGGTGATAACCGTTAACAAGTCCACATGTAAACTCAACCACAATTCACATTGCCCAACAGGTAGCCACAGTACAGCTCAGAAATAGATAAACTTATATGTACTACATACATTTTTACTTCTAGGCTTTCTTTCTTCTGTAAGAAACACTGTACTTAAAGTCAAGGCATTAATTATTCATGTCATGAAAATGTGTGTTCAGCTTTAACACTGTTTTGCATGCATGAATTACAACATTAACAGAATTTTACAAATGCTATGACATATATAAAAAAATTAAATCACTACTGTACTTACATCGACTCTTTAAACTGTTTTCCTCTTTAAACTGTTTTACATGAAAATGTGTGATCCTGCTATATTAATTACTTCAAAACTCCTTGAGTGGATTAGGTGTGAACTTATTCCATCCATTTCGAAACTATATGAACAAAGTGTTTTTTCGGGATGTGTCTAGACTACATCCCTCTTTTGACAGAGATGTAAATTAGGCACTTTGAAATTGCAAATGAAGCGTGGGAAATTCAAATCCCGGCTTCATTTGCATAATCACATCATGGCGCTCTTTTGAAAAAGTGCTATTTCGAAAGTAAAACTGCAGACTAGACACAGTTCTTTTGGAAAGGGGGAAGGCTTTTTCGAAAGATCCTGTTAACCTGAGGTCAAATCCCGGCTTAATTTGCAATTTCAAAGTGCCTAATTTACATCCCTCTGTCGAAAGAGGGATGTAGTCTAGATACACCCTCAGTGTATATCACAGGATCAGTGCCAAAAGTAAAATCTCTGCAAGCTGCATGGAATTGTTTCAAAGACACTATAACAGAGGCTCACCTTAAATGTATACCCCAAATTAAGAAACACAGTAAGAGAAACAAAAAAGTCTCACTGTGGCTTAACAAAGTGAAAGAAGCAGTGAGAGATTAAAAAGTCACTGTTTAAAAAGTAGAAGTTGAATCCTAGTGAGAAAAATAGAAAGGAGCAGATAAAATGTAATAAATCAAGTAAAATGTAAAAATATAATTAGGAAAGCAAAAAAGAATTTGAATAACAGTGAGCCAAAATCTCTAAAAGTAATAGCAATTTTTTTTAAGTACATCAGAAACAGGATGTCACTGGACAATTGAGATGCCAACGACAATCAAGGATGATCGGGCCGATATGAAGAAACTAAATTAATTATTTACATTGATCCTCAGTGCTAAGGATGTTAAGGAGATCCCCAAGCCATTCTTTTTAGGTGACAAATGTGGGGAATTGTCCCTGATTGAGGTGTTGTTAGAGTAGGTTCTGGAACAAATTAGTAAACTAAGTAGTAACAAGTCACCAGGACCAGGCGGCATTCACCCAAGAGTTCTAAAAGAATTCAAATGTAAAATTGCAGAACTATTACCAGTAACTGTGCTTTGTAACCTATAGTTTAAATCAGTATCTGTACCAAATGACTGGAAGATAGCTAATGTGACGCCAAATGCCAAAAAAGGCTCTTGAGGTGTTCCTACTGGCAATTACAGACCAGTAAGTCTAATTTCAGTACTGGGCAAATTGGTTGAAACTATAATAAAGATCAGAATTGTCAGACACCTAGGCTGTGTCTACACTGGCCACTTATTCCGGAAAATCAGCTGCTTTTCCGGAATAACTTGCCAGCTGTCTACACTGGCCCCTTGAATTTCCAGAAAAGCACTGACGATCTACTGTAAAATCATCAGTGCTTTTCCGGAAAAACTATGCTGCTCCCGTTCGGGCAAAAGTCCTTTTCCGGAAAACTGTTCTGGAAAAGGGCCAGTGTAGACAGCACAGATTTCTTTTCCGCAAAAAAGCCCCGACCGCGAAAATGACGATCGGGGCTTTTTTGCGGAAAAGCGCGTCTAGATTCAACAGGATCTCACAGAAGTAAGTGATTGGGCAACAAAATGACAAATACATTTTAATGTTGATTAATGCACATTGGAAAAATAAATTATACATACAAAATGTTGGGGACTAATTTAGCTATTACTACTTGTGACGCCCCAGGTCGCCCCGCGGCGGCCCGCCCGGGGTCACTCCCCTAGAACAAGGGACCACTTCCTTTAGTTTCCTCTCAGACGCGTTCGTCCTCAGTTTCCCACTCCCTAGCAAGGCGGGAGAGGAAGGGGGGCCCGGGCTCACCCACTCTCACGGGCCCCAGCCCAGGGCCCTAAGGGTTCAGGTTCCGTTTGACCAGACCCGGCTGACGGGGCGTGAACCCTTAACACGGCAGCCCACCAGTCAATCCAGACTCTGCCCTGGGCTGCTTCCTTCCCTTCCCGCGCCGGCACCACTTGGCACCTGGCCTTCCCGAACGGTTCGCTCACCATCGATACTCGGTGCCCACTCAGGAGGG